CTTCCTTTCGGTCGTCTGAAAAACCCACAATCTGTGAAGAAAATAGCTATCTACATAGGGGGATTTTTCACATTGAGTTCTGTCGCCCTTGTGAATCCAAATATGTTTTACAGAAACTATAAATCGAAATATTCCTTCTTGTACTCATTTTGTAGCAAATTACGCCTTCTCTAAATTTGTTTGCACGAAGATAAGACAAATTTTGGTTTCAAACGACTTTTCCAACTGTCGAGCAATTTTGAACGCGACCTGCAGTTGCACTTAAGGTTTCCAGAGTACGTGCTGTATTTTCTCTGTGTAAGGAAAATTTATATTTCTATACGTCTTTAAGAAGACGTCGTGCAGGACTCGGTAAATATGAGAATGGATTTGAACCATGTTTTGTACTTCACAAGCAACATTACTAGCAGCAGCTACGGTGCTGTATGAATGGCATTTCGCGGTCTTGAAAATCGTACTACCTAAGTAGTCATTCTTTACTGAGTGTAGTTGTTGCATGCGGTCGGAAAAAATCCACTAAAAACCCGACGTCCTGGCCTGACTGAAATATCGTGGAATTATGCCGCAGGGTAGTCGATATTACAAAGCCACCTACATAGTGCCTGCAAATGGCGAACACATATCAGGATTTTGGCTAAGATTTCGTGAGATTCGCCAACACTATATCTTAGGATTATGCCATATGGTAATTAATTACTTGTCATGCAGTAAAGAAAAAGGCTTGACGAGTGCTCTCATGGCTTCTTCCCAGCCTACCGTGTCAACTGACAACGTGAGACGGGGCTAGTCGTTACATTTGCATGTTTGGTACAGAGCTATGGAACTGAAGTATTCTGATATCATTCTACAGACTGAATTCTCATTTCTGACTAGGGTATTGGCCCTAAGTCGGTCTGGTTTGGCCTCTGCGACTGGAGCGAGACTAGATGTCTTTGTTGCCGTTAGGCTATAGAGTGAAGAGAGAGTGCAGTAGACGCTGCGCAAGTCTGCACTCACTATAGACTGAGTCACGCGCATACCACCTTCCCTGCTCTCAGCCTGCTGTGTAGCACGCGGCGGACATCGTTGGCAACGACGGTCGAACTGTCGGTTGTTACCGCCCTGCCGGACGCTGTCTTTGACTAAAGCCGTTTTGATTTCACTTCGTCTTCTTTGTGTCTACTCGCAGCGCTTCCGTTATCAATCTCCTTTGGATGTAGAATTTCGCAAAAATGTGTTACCATGACAGGCAGTTGGGTAACGGATGGAAAACGCATAGTAGCCTGGTGGAGTGCCTGGGAAGCTATATTTTGTTGTATTAAGTATAGTGCAGCAATTCTTAACGCACCTCTTATTGCTTCACATGACCAGGTAACTTCCTTCCTGGGGACATTAGTGGTTTCCAAACAGAAATTATATTTCGATGTAAATATAGCACTCCCACTGTTATGTCGCGCTTTGGCCCATGTACTGCCTCCACTAAACTGCGTTCTGTGGTGTGGCCTATTCTGAAGAAAGTTGTTTTGATTCTCTGCCGTTCTAGTATCCCTAGTACGAAAACAGAATGTCTCCGAGTAATTCAAAAAAAGCTTCATTTGTACCAGTTTCCTGATATGAGTTCCATAAATGGACTAGGGATAGGGCAAGTGCAGGCAGTTGTCCTACGTTTTACTTCATAAGCACAAGTAAATTTTTTCTAGCACACTATGGATCCATCGCATATGCATTAAAGATACGGGCTTTTTATTTCCGACAATCAGCTATCGGATCATCGCGCTTTTGTTTCAAGAGCGGCCCTGGGCAGTATCAACACCATGGTGATCTAAGGGACACTAAATCCTACTCAAGTCCTGCTTTGGGCTTAAAAAGCCCTGAAATTAACGTTGTAACGACAAAAAAGAAATTCAAGACACTGCATACTTTTCTAATCGTCGATCTTTCTGTCTTCGTTTGTGTTCTAGGTCTTATGTCTTCTCTGTTTTTCCACATCATTCTTTTGAACTCTCCTCCCAATCCTTTGTGGATCTTTTTTGCCTTCTTGCGGAAAACTGCCGTACCTCTTAGGAATTAATTTTGAGGCATTTCTTTGGCTCTGTTACTCCCCCGTCGCTATTTTAGGACCAAGATTATGGTCTTTACTAATTGTACGAAACAGTGACAGTTTTGACAGAAAAATTATAAAGACCCAGTGAGGAGCGATGAGTGAATTGGGATTATCTACAATCGGTCTACCGCACGCTGGCAACTTTTTGATTTAGTTGGCAATTCCAGTTTTTACGAACAACGTGCCAAACTGTGTTCATACGCACAACTGCTATGCAAAGAATTGCAACGTATTGCTGAAAAGCGGATTATTGCTTTTCTGACTGGCCAGTCCCATGAGTTCTAAGAGTTTTGCTTTTAGTGGCAAATGGACAACAACATCCCAGTCAAGGGCGCCTTGTGTGACGCTAATAGCAGCGACATTCGGGATGTGACACTTCGTCGTAAAACTGCTCAGAGTTCTTTCTTCTTTAATAAGTTTGGTCAGATACAGTTGAACACACTTGATATCCTTCAACTTCAACAACCGAAATTTTTTTCATATAAGAGTGTGGGAAATGGAGAAGTTGGACAACGAGGAAACATGTGCTTCTAGGCGGGATCACATCGCCGTACTTCCGACTTCGCGGCATGTACTTGATTTGCTGAGCCGTCAAAACCATGCCTGTCATCTATGCAAGTGGACAAATTTGTTTTTATCCTACCGTAGGCATTTACGTTTTCGGTGTCATTGGACTATTATAAGGCTTCAGCCACGGTTATCTGACCGATAAAGATTTAGCCCCTCAAAAGCCTATGAAGGCGCTTAGTTGAATTGCAATTTCATTGGGTCAGCACTAGCGCGCATGACAGGGGTTTCCATGGGGGAAATTAGAACGCTTTCAACTGACGCACATTTTCACCTGTCCAAGATGGATTTGCTTTGGCTGTTCGCCGTCAATGCGTCCTAGAGCAGCTTTGGTTTTGGGGCGGTGGATCCCGCTAGAAGCCATTTACAATCGGGAGGCGTTAAAATCAATACTTGGACTTGTTCGAGGACAGCAAAGTCATCATCCACATATCACGTCCCAAATGTCGGCCCGCCGACATCTGGCTTCCTTATAGGATTCGCGTTCAAGAGTCGGTGTTACGGACTCGTAGAGAATAAGGTCTGCCTGTTGTAAACACAACAGCCACCACTCAAAACCTATATATCCCGAATCCATGTCATGAATTACATGCAGCAGCAGCAGCAGCAGCAGCAGCAGCAGCAGCAGCAGCAGCAGCAGCAGCAGCAGCAGCAGCAGCAGCAGCAGCAGCAGCAGCAGCAGCAGCAGCAGCAGCAGCAGCAGCAGCAGCAGCAGCAGCAGCAGCAGCAGCAGCAGCAGCAGCAGCAGGAGCCCGATTACGAGAGCAAGGGAAGGACCAGTAATTATGTGAAATTAATCTTCAACGACTTGATCAAGCTGCACGCGTGCTATGCTGCGAATTAAAGGAAAAAATTCTGAGAAGGGGATATTGATAAAGGGGACACTTTGAGGCAGGTGCTGCACCATCGCCCAAGTACATGCCTTACGGTTCATGGCTGAATCAGTTAACAAAGCCAACGAAGGCTAGTCGGGTCCCCACGTCCTGTTTGCCTCGCCGGAACATTTCCCTCGGTACTGTCGAAACTTGAAGTATACTACTCGGATGACACCTCTGTCCTCATGCACCGGGGACACAAAGGGAATTCTAAAGACCGGTCTGAGTCCGACTCCCCTCGAATCCAATCTATGAGGTAGGTAGAATAGGATAGAAAGATCCAGTTTCCCGAAGCTCCATGTCGAGAAGGAAGAACAGAACTCGCCGGATTGATATTTGCCGCAAAGCATCAGGCCCTGCAAGGCTACACTGCACTCCTTGAGCACGTAAACGCAGTTGTGCCCAGATCGGTGTGCACTTTAGCATGGAGGTTAGGACATCAAGGGCGCAGGCATTTGTAGCATCTTTTCCACTTCGCAATAATACTCCTGTAGAGAAGTAAAATAAAGGTTTAAACCGCTGGCACAAAACATCATGGACGAACGGAAAACGAAGTTCCTGCGTGGTTTCTGGAGAAGAATGAAATAGATGTTGCGTAAGTACGCTTCAGTTAAACCAATCCCAAACACTTCACAGCTGCGCTGAACCCACTGGACAACGGTGGACCCGGTCGTTCGTGACAGTCAATTGTCGTGAGCTTAGACTCCATCTTCGGAAATGTCCACCTAAAGTATTTCGATATAAGTCATTCAATCTAACATTGCTCATGTACAGCATGGACTCACGGACGGAGGACAATCGAACTGCGATAAAGTGAGGGATACATTGGCAAATCGATTATCGGTTTCCGGAGTATGAAAGTCGAATGCGATAATAACTAGTTGTGGAAAAAGATTTGATACGGGAAAAATGGTCCGAATGACATTAAATTATGCTCTACGGGAGCACTTCAGACGTCATAAGCGACGACCTACATCGCTGTCCCGCGAGGTGGGCCCACTATTGATAACTAGCATGGGAATTAGTTTATATTGGGCCAGGCTTACGACGCATCTATCGCACTTTCACCCCAGTCTCCCACTTTGCTCCGACAGCAAGATAAACGATAGGTAACCGGAGGTGGGCAGGAACGCAGTGACTGACAGAATTAAACAGACCGTCTACATGCACTAGAAACCGTCTGGTTCCCACGTTATAGGCCAGACTACGCCGAATAGCTTGCTTCCAGTGCACGTGGGATGGGTGTGCTCTTATGTGCGACGTTCCTCACGTGATACCGATGCTGACAGAGTGGGTTGCATGAACTCTGCAGGAGTGAAGTGTTCCGTTTTGTAGCGAGGTGACATGTAAGTATACAATATGGAGTAAGTTCGTGTTCGAGTGTGTAGCTAGAATAGAATTGGTTTATCATAGCACATTTTGTATGCGCTCAGTCTTCTTGGAACACGGAAACATCCATTCCAGTTTCACTTTGATTACGTTTTCAAGTCGTTGAAGATTAATTTCGCATAATTACTGGTCCTTCCCTTGCTCTCGTAATCGGGCTCCTGCTTCTGCTGCTGCTGCTGCTGCTGTTGTTGTTGTTGTTGTTGCTGCTGCTGCTGCTGCTGCTGCTGCTGCTGCTGCTGCTGCTGCTGCTGCTGCTGCTGCTGCTGCTGCTGCTGCTGCTGCTGCTGCTGCTGCTGCTGCTGCTGCTGCTGCTGCTGCTGCTGCTGCTGCTGCTGCTGCTGCTGCATGTAATTCATGACATGGATTCGTGATATATAGGTTGTAAGTGGTGGCTGTTGTGTTTACAACAGGCAGACCTTATTTTCTACGAGTCCGTAACATGGACTCGTTAACGCGACTCCTAGAAGGAAGCCAGACGTACGCAAATGTCCACTGAAACTGTGGTTGTCTGTCTGCGCATAGATTCCCGAAAGCAATTGACAAGAGGGGGTGTGTAAGTAGGGGCGTGCTAGCTCGTGGGCTCCTGTTTCTCACTTAAGAGTGTGTTTCGAAGATAAAGGCGCTTGGTTGGCACATCTTCGACCAAGGATGCCCCACTCCCGAAAGTCAACGTTCTCTTTTGCCGGTATTTTTTTTTCAAAAAACTCCTGTCTTTCGTGTGCTACCTGTAAGAGGCATCATAAAGTTACACTTTTAGGCTAGGTACCTAAGCCTCTCGGTTCAGCATCCGGGACCGATAGCACAAATTGACAGTTGTTTTTGCCACGAGGATCAAGAGGGTTAGCTCAGCCTGACCTGAAATTTGAGTTTCACCAACTACACCTAGCTGAATCTAGAGACGTTAGGACACAGTAAGTTTTAATGAGGATGCCACTCTAGTTTATTTCCATTGACTGGCAGAGCTGGTAACCTGGTAGAAATGAACTGTTACAAGCAGGTGTCCATGAGCCAGACCCGTGACCGCGTATGGGTCACTGCCGGTTTGCCATGTTCTCAAATAACCTGATTCCTCTGTATTCATCAAGGTGATTACCGTAGTTCTTCGATGTTCAATACTATGAAATGGGAAGTACTCAAACACGGTTCACCGCGTGTTCCGAGCTTATTGATTTCAGACCAGAAACGACTTCAGTCTTTATCTTGTTGACTTTCGACAGCTAGCCATAGAAAACGGTCATAAGTATTCTGGCCCAGTTCATAAAGGCGTCGGAGCCAGTCTACTCCAGGCCATAATTCAATTAAATCCAGAACTCTTACGCAGAATGCAGCTCTTTGACAATTAGTGGATAAAACCTAACTACTTTCAGTAACGAAAAGTGTAGACTCCAAAGTTGTCTCGCTGACTACTTTACAGTAAAGGGGTGGTCATGCTGAGCTACGCGACTTTAAATGTGGAACTGGCTGCCTTATCACCCTCCTGCCTGCCCCGTTCAACGAACAACGGTTCACTTAATATATTTTCGTCTATTTACTGCCACGAAATCATTGTAATGGATGTAAACAACTGACTCAAATCACCTGAGGGACGTCTTGCGAACACTATACGCTATTATCAGCCTCCGATAAAGGAACGCAGTACATACCTTACCATATCCACCAGAAAATATACCGCGTAAACTACATTTTCAGTTCTTTTTTATGGTAGAATTGGTAGGTAAGAGTCGCTAAGAATTGATTGCCTGTGTTAAAATGGATAAAATTTAAAAAGATAGCGTGCTTAAGGTAGTTTACTGGCGCCTTTTGTTTGCTGACTCATGGAGTTTATTGCCATATGTAAAGGTCTGTGAACTCGAAGATAAGGCCCAATTTTGTAAATTCAACTCAACCTCATTTAGTGGTCGTGACTGCTTGAAGCGATCATCATGCTTCGTATACAGGGAATGGATAAGTTGAGAAGCTAAAAGGAAGCCTTCGAGACATGTACAAACCTCCGACGTCTTTCTACCTCCACATCGCAGCCAAGACTACGCACACTGCATACCGATCGATAATTCCATTTACCTTTACCGCAGACCAAGCTTAACAGGGTCCGCGGGATCAGTACAGACTAACCACCATCTCGCCTCCGTCCCCCCCCGCGGATTAGCGGCCGCGCGCCTCAGAGCGGCAGAGCGACGCATTGTACCTGCCCCCGTAATGCGGCCAGAGGCTCGACAGTTCGACCGTCGATTTCGACGATGTCTACCGTGTGCCCCACAGCTGCAGCAGCGGTGGGAGCAGGGACGGTGACTTACGCAGGGGTTTATAGTGCCAGTAGACTTGCGTAGCATCTGCCTACACTCTCTCCTCCTCCCCCGCCTGGGCCCGGTGTCAAGACAGAGTCAAGAAGACCGGAGACGAGGGAGACCGCAGGTGGACGGCTCGGACGGATCCTCGCCTTGGCGCTCCACTCCGCACCCCCTGGTCCACACACAAATGACCAGGATTTTGACCACAAAACAATGGGGTGGTTGCAGTAGTCCAGTTGTGCGACGAATGCCGACAACAGGGTCCGCCAGCGCACCCCGCAAATGTTGGCACTTGTTATTACGCACAGATAACGCCTGCCAGAGTCTGATGTGGCCCCCGTGTTGGTCCAGCGCATCTAACACGTGGCCCGTTTTGAGGGCAAAGCCAGAGGCTCACTCTAGGGGTGTTTGCATACATACCCTTAAGATAGACATGAGACTCGCCAGTATAACAGAAGCAGCAGTTGTACTATGTTTCTGAGACATAGTCGCTTCAAGTGAATTCATAATTGTCTCTAATTGTTGCGTGTCGAATAAGAGACGATCGTTTTATGCACCTTTATACCTCTTCACGATATATGGAGCAATTGCTTTTCATTATGAAAGAAGAGAGCTATTGGAAAATAAATATTTTCCAATAAGACATTATCTAAATTTCAGTATTTCCTATTCTATGAAACTGTCGGGGACTTTAAACTGTGAGTAAGGCATTAGTTTATTAATAGCTTCACGGGGAGAGAACCCGCCGATTATTTTACACTAAAATCGTACGCGTGCGTATCTTTGGTATTTATTGTGCTTCCACTTCAAAAATGTGTATTTAGATAGATGGAGAGTCCAGGTTGGCACGTCTCCATCCTTGGCGCCTGAGTTGTTTTGAAATCTTTGCGTAATCTTACTCCGAGATTTCCGACACGACAGTTTCCTGCCTAGAAATAAAAGTGGGCAGAAACCATCACGCCCTAGATGAAAATTATAAATATAAACCAAATGAGCTTACTGATGCTATCGATAGCAGACGGCAAAGACAAGATCGCTAGAAATCCCCAGAAAATCAAGTTACACCCATCGGCAGAGCAGGAAGCAGTAAATGAAACTCACGAAAAAAAACTGGCAGAAATTTTCGGGGGTGTTTTTCCATCAAAGCTGTACCACTGCTGTGCGTGAACCATAGCACTAGGCTAACCCAAGCGAAGGAACATTCTAACTTTCCATTGAAAGGGTTTTAAGCATCACTAGGCCCATCTGTCAGAGGTAGCACATTTTTAGTGGCTGTCTCCTACTCTATGGCCATCCACAATAACTAAATGTCTCTCTTAAAAAGAAATGCACTTAATCATTGGAACAAAAGGTGCATTAGCCTAGATTTGTACTTTTAATCGAGCCCACTCTCAAACACAGAACCATAAGCAGCCACGGGGCACAGGAGACTGCAGTGGTAATTACGCTGTAGATCACCCATGCATTTAATGGAGGTGCTGCAATAAACGACTTTGATCTGGCTGACCAAGCCATTATGTCATCGACAACGATCACCCACATTGGTTTGCGTCTGGTGATCCCGACGCGGCAGGTCGCAGGGAGGTCGGCATCAAAACCAGACGAAACGAAAAATTGTAGTCGGACCTCGCATGTGTGGGACTATCAAGGTAAGATAGTCGACAACATGTTTGGTGTTGAGATGGAGACCGCAACGGTTCCAGACGGTGTTTTACAGACGACCGAAGACTTGGCTGACTTTGGAAATGCGGCGGGCGACCTCGTCGTCGATTTTGGTGCTGTGGGAGAGGGTGCTGCCCAGATACGTGGAATTGCCCATTACTTGCATTTGGGTCCTTATCATGCTGATTTTCTGCGCATTGTGGGCTGTAGTGGGTGGCAGTTGGTGCATAACAACTGTCATCCCCGTGTTGATGATCACACCGTAGTTCCCACAATCGAAGGAGAAGAGATTCGCGCTCTTTTGAATGTCCCCTCCCGAGATGGCGTTGAGGGCGCAGTCGTCGGCTAAGAGAAGTTCGTGGACGGTGGTTGTGGATGCACACGACTGGAACTGCATCCGCCTAGGGTTGAGGAGATGGCCGTCCGTCCTGTAGGCGATGGGGATCCCGGAGCGTTCATCACGGTAGGCGTCCATCAGCATGGCAGAGAACATAAGACTGAAGAAGATGGACGCTAGGGCGCAGCCCTGGTTCACTCCCTTGGTCACTGCGAATGCCTCTGAGACAGCTCCGTTGTCCGTGACTCGCGCGATCATGCCATCGTGGAGCTGACGCTCCATCTGAGTGAATCGCTCGGGACAGCTGGATTTCAGCATGATTTTCAACAGCCCTTCACGATTCACCGTGTCGAAGTCTTTCGTCAGCTCCGCGAAGACAGAGTACAGGTGGGCCAACATCTCCTGGCACTTCTCCTGCAGTTTTCGGGCTGCGAAGATCATGTCCGTGGTCCCACGATGACGGCGGAAGCCGCACTGACTTCCCGGCAGAAGACCTTGTTCCAAGTGATTATTCAGGCTGTTGAGGAGGATGCGGACGAAGATTTTCCCTGCGATGTTCAGCAAGAAGATGTCTTTGTGGTTGTCGCAGATTTGATGGGTTCCTTTGTTGCGAGCGCTAAGGAAACAACTGTCAATCCCAGACTATGGATATCGGAATAAGACCAGAGTTATGATAGAATTACAATCAACTGTCTAACGGCCTGATAATCCAACAGATGCCGAGCGCGTCGCGTTGTGTTGTGTTCCTTCCATTCAGTTAAACGACCAGTAAGTTCAAGAATGATGAACAGGTAGGTAAATGCAAGGTATTCTGGCGCCTCGTCACACCTTTCCGCTTGTGTAGATGCACGATTTTGGCGTCTTTGAAATCCTGCGGGATTTCTCCTTGACGCCGCATCTCCTGGAAGAGCGCCGTCAGATTATTCATGAGTTGGGGAGTACCCTGCATGTAGGTCTCAGCAGGGATCGCGTCCGATCCGGGCGCTTTTCCGTTGAAGAGCCGCTGCATGACCCTGATGATTTCTCGGTAAGAGGGCGGGAGGTCGACGTTGACGTCGGTCTCCACTTGCGGCAGACGGGCGATGGCGACGTCGGAGACGGTGGAGGGGCGGTTGAGGACGCCTCAGAGGTGTTCGGCCCATCGCTGTAGAATTTGTGTCTTCTCAGCGAGTAGGGTATTGCCGTCGGCGCTGAGAGGAAGTGCAGTTCTTTGTGTGGCGGACCGTAGACAGCATTGATCTCTCGGGTCGTTCTCCCATTAACCCAAGATGTGGCCCATAGTGGAGTTCGACAGCCGCCTGGGACAGCACTGCTTACCTCCCTCCCCCCGTTAGAGGGAAGGAACTGGAATAGATGCCCTATACAAATGCTGGGAAGCCACGCCGTCTGCAGGCCGGCCGTGGCCGCAAGCGCAAAACTCACGGTCGAAACAATCAAAATCGAAACATGCTCTGTTTCTTCCTCCTCCTCCTCTCCCTCTCCGCCACCCCACTCGCCAGACTTGCAGGCTGAGTCCACTAACTCTGGCGGCCTGGAATGTTCGTTCCCTTTTAGACAACTCGAGGAGAAAGCGACCGGAACGGAGGACGGTGCTAGTGGCTCGCGAACTGACTGACGCGCTACAAGATGAACATCGCTACACTCAGCGAGACCCGGTTTTCCGAACAAGGCCAACTGGAGGAGGTGGGTGCAGGCTACACCTTCTGGTGCGGTCGCCCGAAGGCAGAACGCCGTGACGCGGGTGTCGCCTTTGTCCTCCGGAACGACATCGTGGAACGACTGCCCTGTCTGCCGCAGGGCATAAGCGACCGCCTGATGAACCTTCGCCTGCTTCTCCGGGGAGGCAAATTCGCCACCGTCATCAGCGTCTACGTGCCGCCGATGCCCAGCCCTGACGCCGCAAGGGCCGAATTCTAAGAGAACCTGCACGCCCTACTGACGACTGTGTCGAAGGCGGATAAGTTGATTGTCCTTGGTGACTTCAACGCCCGCGTCGGCACAGACCATGTTGCCTGGAGAGGAATGCTATGGCTCCATGGTCCCGACGGATCCAATGACAATGGCCTGCTACTCTTACGAACCTGCGAACAGCACCGACTCATCCTGACGAACACCTTCCGCCTCCCGATGCGAGAGAGGGCCACCTTAATGCATCGTCGGTCGCGTCAGTGGCACCTGATGAACTATGTCCTCGTCCGGAGGCGAGACCAGCGGGACGTGCTGGTGACAAAGGCGATTCCGGATGCTGACGGGCGGACTGATCATCGCCTCGTCATCTCGGAGATGTGGATTCGCCTACAGACTTACAGGAGACCTCAAGGTAAGCGACCGCTTGGTAAGCGGAATATTATTTTGTCGTCTTTGCCTGCCACCGTGTCCATTTACCTAACGAGCTAACTCCACGGCTAGACAACCTTCCAGTCGCTGCCGCGGCCGCCGCAGCCACTTACGAGAACGCCTCCGTAGAGAATCAATGGTGCCAATTGCGGGACACTGTTCAGTCGACGGCTCTGGTTGCCCTCGCTCGGGCACGTCACCAACACCAGGACTGGTTCGACGACAACGACGCCGTCATCAGCAACCTGCTATCCGAGAAGAACCGTCTGCACAAATCCTACGTCGACCGCCTTACCGACGACAACAGGGCTGCTTCCTACCGCAGTAGCTGCCTTGTGCAACATCGGCTGCGTGAGATGCAGGGCACCTGGACGGCTCGCCAGACCAAGGAGGTCCAAGGCTAGGCGGACTGCAACGAATGGACGAAAGTGTCTATCTACTTGCAATTTGAACGCGCGGCGAAACCAAATAAATTGTACACAAAAAAACGACCTAATAAAGATGTCAAATAAACAGTTGACATGTTTGCCTCTGTGTGTAGACATGACTGATGACTGTAACATCGCTAGTATCATTATATTCTCGGACTTAACAAGCCCCGCCAATTTCGGTAATGACTTAGAAAGTCGGTGTTATGTACGACTTTTCAGTATGTTTCAAAGCCCGTCGGCCGAAAGCTTAATAAGTGTCAGAGTTACGAACGCCGACTAAGGTTCTCTACAGCCAAAAGTTTGCGTTTGTGACCAATATGAATACCAAAAAACCCACGCATTTCCCCGACAGGTGACCTAATAAACATAACGCGACTTAATACACCGAACTGCTTTGGACAGAAGTGAGAAATCTAGTTACTTACGGACAGCATCTTTTCTGGGAACCGTGGTTGTTATTATTATAGGATTACGTAAACTGATGTAAACTGAAAAGGCACGGCTATTTGCCTGGCGTCATTGACAGATAGAAATGTCGCCCACCAATCTATCCTAATTGCAGGATGAAATGGGCATTTTCAGTTTTACGCAAAAGATGACGACCTACAGCTTATGCGGGCAGTGGCATTACGGATAACAATCGCTAGCGAAGAAGTTTTACCTACAAATTTAAGGATATTGGAATGACCACCCCCCCCCCCATTAGTGGTCATCGACCCGTGATAACTCAATCCTGGTTTGGACAGTGGAGCTAAGAATTCAAGTCAACTTTTTACTTGTTTTTCTAAGAAGTCCGATTTTTGTGGAATAAAATCCTGCGACACTTAGACTTCACAAATTCCCACCGCAAATGCCTCTATCTTTGGTGAATCCGAGTTTGTCACCGGCACAACGCGATCTAGGTGGTTTAGATTACCGTGAATATCATCCTTTAAGTTGACTCAAAAGAAAGAACTAAACTGAGATGCTGCTCTCCATCTGTACTACAAGCATTTGTAAGCTAGTACTAGTTCGAGTACTTCATAATTTTGGGAGATTTACCTGACTCCAGATATCTGTAGAAGCACTGACGTTGTGCGATCGGCCTAATATAAAAGTCTAGCGCAATTATTTGTAAGGGAACTTTAAGTTCAAATGGAGGACTTTTATCAAACGGAGCAGCAGGACTTGAATTTGATTTTGTATAACTTCTCTAAAGCAAGCACAGGTCGTTTTCTAGAAGACACTCCTTTAGTTTCATAGGTCCTTCTTCTGCCCTTCCCAAATAAATGTATTTTTTAGAATAGTCTCGTAAGCGAACCATCTGGCGTTGGTCGCCATGAGGTCGAAAGTGGCGAATAGCCTCAGAGTGGAAAGTGATAAGTGTTTTCTTAAAGCAAGGGATCTGAATCAGCGGCGAAAAATAACGGCTTGAAGGTGGAGTCCAGAGGGCCACCGTAGAACAAGTGTACGTAGATCTTAGTTCAATAATTCTAAGGTGAACAGGACCTACAATGACTTTGATACTTAGTCCACTAACTCATTGTCTTAACAGGTGCTAGTAAATTGGAACAAGTCTGAGAACGACGGTCCCAGTATTCGCATTATTCTTTTTACCAAAAAACGCAAGAAGGCAACATGTGAGTTCCAATCGCAGGTACATTTACCCACAATTCACTTCGCAGCTGTCGGGAATACGCTTATCGCATTTAACATCCGACTTCTGACCTGCCCAATTCTTTAATTCCAAGTTCCCGTCTGTAATTTTGTTCGTGCCAAGGGAAGCTTCCGTTGTTAACCTAAAGCTCTTTTTATTGATTTCCTGAGGCAATTACCCTGAAGCAGATCCATGTATAAGTATGCCTTATGTGAATAATAATCATGCTCGTAGCATTGGTACGCTAAATATTCGGTCTTCAAATACCTAATCGCTGACGGTTTGCGCGTGATCGCATCAGTTATCCCAATGCATAAAGGCTGCCTGAATAATTGTTGACTCACCGATGAACAGAGCAGTGAAAAGTACAGCCGGTGGAAAATCTCCGCGTGCCGACTCATTTACAAGCGAAATCTACAAACACGGTGATCCTCAATTCAAGGAAAAGTTCGTATCACTGTCCCGGGATATGTTACAGTTAAGAGAAATCAGGCAAGATTTTGGGAAGACAACCATCCTTCGCCCGTAAAAACGCGAAAGTAATCGGCATCTCCTCGACAATCAGCACAATACTGCTTGCGAACTTCACTGGACTATTTCTCAATCGCCTGGGTTTACACCTGGAACAGAGGTCTCTTCTCAAGAGTTACTACGGAGTCCGGAAAAACCGCAGAAAAATCAGTGTTAACTTCGGAGTCCGGTTATATAATAAAAAGGCCGAAAAGGGAGGATCAGTCTCCACCTCTGGGAAGATGGGAAGAAATTCAAACGTACCAAATGACTCTCGTTAATGGCCATGTAGCTTCGTGGCGACTTTATGAGATGCATGATGGACGATGGATCGACATCGGAGGCCCTCGTGCTTAAAAGTGGGATGAAGGAGGGTTGCATCTTTGCCCAACCTCTTCCAGACTCATACTTTTTTAAAGGCTGATGGATGCTTCCCGAGAGAATCGTCCGGGCGTCTACATAAACTATCAAACCGACGACAAACTGTTCAAAATAAACGATATTTACAACGACACAGAGGTGTCCAGTGCCAAGATATGTGAGCTCGTCTATACCGACAGCTGGACACCGTAAAAAAGCAGACATGCAGCGACGACTGAACGATCCGCCTACGCGTACGCCATCTTCGCACTAGCCATCAACATCTCGATCAGACACCAAAATCATGCACCGCCCCGGTCAGTAACCTGCGAATCCATCGTTGCGCGGTTAGAGAACCAGTCTCTGATGCCCTCACCAGCACCCGTCACTTACGATTTACGTGCCCATAGTTCACTCGTGGGTTTAACCACCGGCATTCACGACAACAGCCACCCAAATTTTACCCATCACTCAAGTTCACATCGTTCTCACGCCTGAAGTCATCGCACGGATCTTTCCGAGCCAATGGGCGAACACTGGGACCATCCACACCTCATACACCAACTGTGCTGTGACGCTTCCTAACTTCGCTTATAACGGCTGAACTACTGTACTTGCATGCGTACTCCCGCTCGGTAGACGATAGGCAGGAGGCTTCAAACAGCGCCAGCGACTGAATCCAATCTCAGCACCAGTCGGCAGAGAAACTAAAACAGGCTACTGGTGCACTAGATATGAAAGAGAGGGAGAGGGAGGTCAACGCGCAGAATCCTTCTCCACAGAATACATTCCAAGGACAAATCAGCGCGCTCTGAACTGTAATCAATCTGACCTGCTTTACTCTATCCCGGCGTGCTAAGTGTCGTGGCTTGAAAGGACTGAGAGTCAGGTCGCAGCGGCTTCTTACTGTGGCCTTCATGGCATTCTCAGGCGTGTATCATCCTCCGAATTAAGCCGGAGACGTGCGGAAGTTGGGACCAGGCCGAGCGTGTGTGTGGTAGGCGTAGACGGAATGTTGAGCATCGTCAGCCATTGCGCCCACGCCTGCCTCCGATCGCCTTGGCTCTGTCTTTCTACTGAAGAGGATGCGGTGTATATAGTGCAGTTCTGCTTCACATGAAGTGATTCACGCCCAAGTGGTGGCTCTGTCCACATCGTGGGCAGCGACAGACATCGTCGAGTTATCGCTATTGTCTTCTACGCAGTCGTCCAGTGAGAGTCGAAAATTTGGCGGGTAAACTCAAAGGCAACGCATCCAGAACTTGCAACAATCTCCAGGTTGGTTCACGTGTTTGATTGGGTGCTTGAGAGAGGGCAAAAATTGACGGTTTTCAGCAAGGTCGGAAAATGGCTGCCCCAATAGTCACATGATCAATCCTTTTTGTGGTCTCAAATCGTAAATGAACTCTATTTCGCCTCAGAATTTCAACGAGAGGTGTGTTCATGCCAGTAATTAAGCGCTTAAGTTCCGATTCATCCGAAACATCCTACTCTTGTTGAATAACCACATTCCAGCTGATCCTCCAACTTCTAAGTCAGACTTTTGTAATATAAACGTTGGGATTACAGTCCGCACAGATTCCGAGTTATATCAAAACCAGGCGCAGAGATGGCCAGGTCACATATGAATTTAGTTGCTTCTTAGTATATATTCTGTCTCCTGGACTGTATGTATGCATTTTGTATTCTGTATGAACGTATTTTGTCTCCTGGATCGTATGCTTGTCAAAACACTAAAGCTCCGCCGTTGTATAGTCTTTAAAAAGTCAGTAGTTGGCTATAGAGTGTCGGAATGCATTCGGCTTCCCGACAAAGAACTGGATTTAGACAGTTTTTGAGACAAAAACTCCTCAGACAATCACACTGCTACCTCCACATGCCAGTAATTGTTTCGATCGTCCACACCATCCAAATCAAATTCTCTTTAATCGAGGAAGACTATCTTGTGACAATCATTTGTCCGGGTGACGTAATCTTCAACCGACCACATCCGTTGTATTTTGCGGCACTTCGTCAACGACCGTATTCGTCAAAGCCTCCAACAAGCGAACAGCAGTGAAATCCTCTGTGTCCTCTGAAACGTAGCCTTTGAAAACGCCACTGTCAAATCCCGCCTGATAGCGCATGCAACTGCTTCTCGCAGATACCTCACATAGTGCTGCTCGTCTCGCCTGATGTCTACAGCCCATCCTACTTCCGGTTCTTCTCTATTCGTAGTGCGTTCACGAACTGCAATGTTACTGTCCGCCAAGCTTTTGATCTATTCAGTCGTTGTACGATCTGTCTACTGCCCCGACGCACTTCAGGCCATGCAGAACTCTCGCGTCATTCAAAATCCGCAGTTGCGCTCCTCTGGGCATTCATAAAAGATGAAAAATAGCTAAACTTCGTCAAGTTTGAGAACCGTCACAATTGTTTGTCTCCATCCTTTTCGTCGATGCTGGCAACCAGTTCCACCTGAACTCAA